AATGATCCAAGATATCTCATTCCTGAAAAAGTTATCCCACTCTCCTGATATAAAGATAATTATCAAAAAGGACTGTAGGAACCAGGTCAGAAACAACTCCAGTGATTAAAGACCACAACCTTCAGTATGGTGGCATCTCAATGTAAAGAAAACTAAAATCATCATCACTGGACCAATAATGAATATCATAATAAATGGAGAAGAAAATTGAAGTTGTCAAAGACTTCATTATGCTTGCATCCACTATCAATACTCATGGGAACAACAATCAAGAAATCATTGACATCAGGCAAATCTGCTGCACAACACCTCTTTACAGTATTCAAAAATAAAGATGTCAGTTTGAGGGCTAAGGGACACCTGACCCAAGTCATGGTATTGTCAATATGCATGTGAAAATTGGATAATGAATAAGGAAGATCATAGAAGAATGATACATTTGAGCTACAGTGTCTGAGAAGAATATTAAAAGTACTATGGATTGCTAGAAGAATAAACAATTATGTTTTGCAAGAAGTACAGCGAGAAACCAGGATGATGAGACTTTGTTTCTCATACTTTGGACATTTTGTCAGGAGGAACCAGTCCCTGGAGAAGGACATCATGCTTGCTAAAGTGGAGGGTTGCCGAAGAAGAGGAAGACACCTAAGATGGATTGGCACATTGACCGCAACAATGGGCTTAAGCTTAACAACTTATTGTGAGGAAGATGCAGGACTGGACAGTGCTTCAATCTGTTGTGCATAAGGTCTCAATGAGTCAGACCCAACTCATTGGCACTTAACAATAACAACAAGTATTGCTCATATTTTTATCTCAGTAATAACTTTGATATGTATTAAGCACTCTTGCCCTCTAGCCATCATCACGTAGCAGATCAACAAGCCAAGTCAGATTCACTTGCCTACTTAAGGGAGTTTATTTAGACTCACTGAATAAACTTTTCTTGAGCACCTACTATCTTTTAGAAAATATTTAAGAAACAGCTGTATTGTTGTTAAGTGCCGTCAAGTGATTTCCAACTCATGATGACTCTGTGTATGGTTTCTGAGGATGTAAATATTTTTTGGAGGAGAAATTTTCATTTTTCTCCCACAGAGTGGCTGGTGGGCTTGAACTGCAGATTTTGTGGTTCTCAGTATTGTGTTTATCCTGCTGAGTCAATGCACTCCCAATAGAGGAAATATAGATTAAACCAAATAAATAGGTTATAGCATCTACACTCAAATGTACATAGTCATCTGGGCATTGATTATAGAATGGAATTATTAAGATGATATTATGCAATATGTATATATATATAAAAGGTACATTTATTCTAATCTGAAGAAGATAACTCTAGTATTGTCTACATGCAGAAAGTATAAAACTTTAAGAATATCTAAATATAAATGAGTTGTTAACCATTGTAATGTTTTAAAATCAGGAAAGGATTTGATAAATCAACTTATTCTAAATAAGATACATTATCATTTGTTTAGGTGGTTTCTTCCCTCAATGAAGGGGAACTGAATAATAAAAAGTAAGTTTCCAATTATCTAATTTGACTGTGGAAGCATCACTATTTTTACTTTAGTGTATCTAATGAATTTGTTTATTATTAGTAATAATATTTTAGAGTATCTAATTACTTAACTTATAAATTAGATACTCTAAAATATAAATAGTGACATTTCCACAGTCAAATCTGATGACTGGAAACTGAATTTTCAATATTCAGCTCCTCTTCACTGAGAAAAGATACCACTCAAACTATTAAAGACAAATGAGAATGTATCTTATTTAATAAATTTAATTAATTAAATTAATTAATTAGTTAATTGGAGTCCTAGTGTGGTGCTGGGTTAATATGCTGGACTGCAAAGTAGGTTTGAACTGCAAGGTCAGAGGTTCAAGCTCACCAGTCACTCCTAGGAAACCCAATACAGGGTTGCTATAGGTTGGAACCAAATCAATGGCATAATAGTTAATAAATTAGTTTGTCATAAGTATAGTTGTAATCATGATGACAAAATTGTGATTTTGTTGGGGATATTTTTTCCCTGTTCCAGAACTTACTCTTCTAAAGAAACATCTGATCATTCCTCCTTGTGTCTTTCCAATTGTGGTAGCTAGTTTTCAAAATGACTACCAATGAATCTGTCTCCCAGTATACAAAACCTTGTAGACTTCCCTTCATCTAACAATATGGCAGAGGTGTGCCACTTCTGACAGTAGGCTATAAAAGACTATAACGATTTTTGGAGCACTCTTGCTCATGTATTCACTCTTCCTTGGATCACCCACTCTGAGAATGCCAATTGCCATGCCTTGAGGCTACAGACAACTTGCAGTGAATAATTGAAGTGTATAGTCCAACAATCTGTGAGGAACAGAAGCCTCCTTTGGGATAAAGAAATTAGCTTTACTCCAAATAACATGGCTTCTGTGTTTGGTTCCTGAGAAGTAATCATTGGATTAATTGAGATGCCTTTATCTGTGACTTCCATGCCATGTCTGAAAATTGTGCTGGTGAGTCAGGCAGACTCTACCAGAAAAGACTCAGCTGGAGGTCTGGTATCAAGGAACTTGAGGAGGCATGATTCAGCCTATCATGCACAATTGACCAATAAAGGCCTGGAACACAAAGATCAGAAAGTTTTCTGGTCAGTAAAGAGAAGGTAAAGTACCTTCTTTAAGATGTGGAAATTTTCTGCTGGGAGCCCTCCCTAGGCCTCTTCTGTACATCTCTTCCTAAGACTATCCTGGCTTGTATCCTTTACTAAAATAAATTGATAATTATAAACATAGTACTCTCTGTGAGTTCTGTAAGTCATTCCAGAGAATTATTGAACACAAACGAGAACAGAGAACCAGATGGAAGTGAAGGTATCTTGTAGACTTCCCATTTTGTGGCTTCATCTGATTATTTGATCATCTAAAGGACAATATTCTTTAAACATGTAAGATCTGCCCATTTCCAAGTAGCTGGGTCAGAGAGAAAGTATGTTATGGACAGCTTGTGTCAGAAATGATTGCAAAGTGGGAAGGTGGGGACTGGATTGATTTCCACATTTTGTGGATTAGTTTTATGCTGATTCTTATTTGTGTAGTTATCCACGAATCTTCCAATAATCATCTGAGTGAGCTTCGAAGTAGACCTTCAGCTCTAATGAACTTTGAATTGATTGGTGTCCTTTTCAGTCTGAGTGAGACTTATGACAAATCTCATACCAAATCCACCAAGCTTAGTAAGAAGCCATGGTGGCACTGTAGGATAAGCACTGGACAAGGTTGGTGGTTCAAACCCAACTGCTCCACATGAGAAAGATGAGGTTTTCTGCTCTGGTAAAGATTTTATTTATAGCATTGGAAGCCCTATACAGGGTCACAGGGTCACTTTGAGTCAAAATCAACTTGATGGCACTAAATTTGGTTTGGTTTTTGGAAGCAGTTTCCAGATTCCTGAAACAAATAATAAATATTTGTTTCATTAAGATGCTAAGATGATAATTTACACAATAGGACTCTGGGAAAACTTGTTATAAAAATACAATCATACAATCTGACACTAGGTAAGACTCTACCTTACTAGAGCTCTTTATACAGAATTTGTAAGGTTGATTCTAAAGAGGGGAATGTATGCTGCTTTTTCTCTGTATACCCCTGGCTTTATAGTTTATTCTCCCAATGAATGGATGAGAAAATTTTGTTTCCTTTACTAGAGCTATCCTTTATTTATTGATTACAAAGATTTTGCAGGAAATAATTGGTTTATGTTTGTGATTATATGTGTACAAGTGGTCCCTGATTTATGATAAGGTTAAGGCTGAAAAATTGATCATAATTCTGTTCTGCTATAAATCAAATATATCATTTTTTTAAAGAAAAGTTTCCATTGTTATTGCTTTTTATTATCAGTATATTTATATATCCTGTAGTGTTTTAAAATTGAACATCTATGAAGGAATATCTGAGACTAATACCAGCAAATTATGTGTTGAACAATAGGATGTACCAAAAAAAAATAAAACCCATAAAAAAACAAATAATGGATGGTCCTAAGTAGGGTCCATTGTAATTCAAACAAAGTTCATAAATCAAGAAATAGATGTATATGTACATATATACTACTATCTATGTTCAAAAAATGCTCTTATTATTTTCATTCTGCAATGAGTTCAATAAAGTAAAAGAAAGAAAAGGAGAGTTGGATAGATAGATTATATATACAAATATATGCTACATCTTAAATCCAAACATGCATTTTAGATTTAGATAAATATATTTATACATGCACATATGTATATATGTGTGTCTGTGCACCCTATGTTCTTTTCATGTAGCTTTATTTTCATACACAGTTGTTCTGTGTGAATTAATATATGTTGATGGCTAAGAGTTACAAGAAAACAGAATAATTATTGTAATTTAAAATCCTTTAGAATGCTTCTTAAAATTACTGAGCGAAAAAGCATAAAAGTATCTGTGAGTTCTAAAGAAGCATAAAGAAGTGTGTTTTTGTATACTTGTTTTTACATACAATCACTAAACAAGATGAGCAGTTCGCATTTCCATTGTAAATTGGCAATTAACAATTTTAATATAGAGGATGTGACTCGATTTAGGAAAAGAAATATCTATAGGAAACCTACATTTAAAAAAATATTTTAGGAATAAAGAAAATTCTATGATGATTAATTTACAAAATGTTATGATATATTTAGTCCTCCAAAGAATAAAGAGAACATAATATCTCTCTAGGATAAGCACTGGACTGCAAACCACAAGGTTGGTGGTTTTAGCCTACCAGTCTCTCCACAGAAAAAAAGCAGAGATGAGACTTTCTGCTGCTGCAGAAAGATTCATAGCCTTGGAAACTCTATCCAAGGTCTCTATTAATTGAAACTGATTCAACTATACTTAACAACAAGAACAACAAATAATAAGATAAATTATGTTCTAATTAGAATCTAAAGAGACGTTAAATTAGCTATTGTGTCAAAAACTCTACCACTCACCTGTGCACCCAGGTCTCTGGAATGTTGTGAGCTGCATAGAGTGTGAAGCTAAAATAGGGATCCAAGCCAGGATTAACATAGGAAATGCTTCCAGGTGCATTTACAGGCTGAAAATCTGTATAAAAGCTGCTACAATAGACATGAATTAGATGGGAGATGGATGTGGTTAGCTCAGCTGTCACTGTCTCTATCAAGCCTAAGAGGGAAAAAGGATAGATATCAGGTCATTTGTAAAGGTCCCTATTTATCATAAGCCATCAATTATGGCTTTGAAATAATCAAATGAAATTTGATTAAATGATCCTCAACCAATGGAAGTCAATTACCCATCTGGACCTTTGCATGGGACCAGGATTACAAGAGGAGTTTTTTAATTATTAATTTTATAATCTGATCAACTATAAATTATATTATTTTTTGTTCTTATTTATGATTGTATAGATTGGATTTTCAGACAAGGCTTTTTTTTTTTTTTTTTTTTTAAGAAGTACCTATAAGTACTTCAAATCTCAAAAGAGTTAAGCATAAAAGTGATGATGCAGTGATATTCAACATTAGCTTAACATGAATCATAAGTACTGTGCTGATATAAAATAGAATGATGATAGTATGTGTGACAAGTCTGTAAATAAATTAACTCGTTATTATCTTTACTAAACCTTTCTATACTAAAGACGGTTCTTGAGTTTTGCCATTAATTACTTAAAGGTCATTTATTGATAATTCATAAAAATGACTTATCATGAGGAAGATAAATGAGAAAAAATGACGAGGTATAGAATGTTCCTCTGTCCCCTGAGTTGTTGAGAGAACAAATAAACACATCTTTAGAAAGTTTATTGTGAAGGCCAGTTGTGATTTGATTCTAACGAGAGCTGATTCACATCACTCAGTAACTATGGTTTATTCAAACATATATACTTCCTCATAAATTGTTCCTGAAACATAAACTGCTTTTGATTCCTAGTTGTCGTAAAAAGAAAATGGCGTACTTTAGTTACTTGCAGTGATCCCTTAGGCAGGTATTTGGATACCTCAGGAGAGAGGTCAGCTTTAGCATATAGCTTCTTTCCACAGTTTGTTCCTCAGTAGATGTATTCACAAACAAAATTTTTTATTGTTCAACACATACTATTATTCACTTTGCTGTTCAGAAATCTGTACAAAACTTACAAGTAGCTAAATTTAACTTATTTGCTTTATCTCTCAAATTGTGCCCTTTGTTGACATAGACTGAGAGAACAGTGAAAAGAACCCTAATTAAAATTCTCTGAGAAAATTAATAGTAGTAATTAAAAGAGGCCCTATCAGACCCTGAAGACCAACCAATGGGAAAAATGAGCAACAGGAGGCTGGGAATTATACATTTATAAAAGTATTTTGTTTCCAGGCCTCCAAATTGTACTGCTGATACTTTGAATTCAGGAGCAAAACACTCTTGTTAATAATTACCAGTTCCTATCTGCACAAATGGATACACATCCAAAATCAATAAAAAAAAAGAGTCAAAGATTTGATAATTCAAGCCCCAGTACATTTTAAAGGGAGCCTTAGTTATTTACATAATAACTCAACTTTCATTTTTCTGTGTAGAAATGTAGTATTTAGTTGTAATTTATTATTTGAGGTCATATAGAGAGGTGTGTCTATGCGTTATGCTTTACTTCCAAAAATCTAAATGAAAAATACATTTTGAATAACATCATCTGCATTGTATTAAGGACTCAAAACACTAGGCTTGTTGGTAAAATAGTTAAATATATATATATATCACAACTAATTTTACTGTATAAAAAAAAAAGGTGTTGTTGCTGTCAAGTGCTGTTGAGTCAATTCCAATTCATAGTGATCCTGCATAGGGTTTCCAAGGATCAGCTTGTGGGTTTGCACTACTGACTTTGTGATTCAAACTGACCTTGGAGTCTAGTCCTTATCCTACAGTGCCATACCAGGACTCTACACACAGAAAGAAATAGTACACTTTAAAAGCCTGCAGCATTCCCTTAGGCAAGTATTTGGAAACCACAGGAAAATAGGTATAGTATCAAGAAATAAAGAAGCAATGACAATATATACTCAATTAAAACTCATCGATTAGAATTTGCAATAATTTAGCATAAAATATGTCTCTGAATACTCCTGTAGTACCTTATGGATTTACATGTCCCAACACAGAACCATGCTGGGGGAGGGATTTCATTCCAACATTCCTAGTAGGAAGAAAGGGCCAATTCCATGTATATAATCAACTTGTGTCTGATGCCACTACCTGCTATCTTCTCTAAAAGCAAAGTCCTGTGGTCTATAGTTTTATAAGCTAAGACCTTCTGTAAATACTAATTATTCTGAAACCCTATTTTCTTATATGCTATGTTAAAAGCTCTTTCAAATAGAGTTTGAATTTTAACTTGAAATCAATGACTTTGGATACAGATATTGATACTTATTAAATTTTCTTATATCAAAATATGGTTAGCTAAATAATAACATTCTGCTGTTGTTTTGGAACAATTATAAGCATATTTTCAGGTATTTACTTTTCTCCAAATCTTCTGGCACCCCTTCCTTTTTCTTTTGTTTTTTCTCCTTTTTTAATACCAGGTGAAAATTTAGAATATTTAGTGTGTGAGTATTATGTGCAGAATAACCACTTCCATAAGTAGAAAGGGTTTATCTGAAAAGTATTGTTTGTTTTCAAAAAGTATTTACTATATGTGTGTGGGAAATTGTAGAATCATCGTATTCAGCTGAAAAACTGAAAAATAAATCATTGGAATTATTTTCCCATATTTTAAAATTTTACATTTGAGTACATGTGCATTTACCTTTTGTTGAAGTCTCTGAGTTTTGATGCAAATCCTGAAAAAGAAAGTTGGAGCAAAAGCACAATTACTGTTCATAAAACAAATTTACAAAACAATCAAAACTACTATTCAAAATTTAAACTTTTAAATTTCTCTGAAACAGTGAAAGAAAATATCTGTTAGTGCCTTATTAAATGAAGAAAATCTCAACTGTAAAAGAGAAGTTCTGTGAATGTTGTAATGAGCAATTTCAGTTGATGTTTTGAAAACAGAAATTGAGAGATGAAGCCCAACCTTTTCGATATTATTTGGGCAGTATTATAGATATCACCTCAGCTCAATTCCTATTCCATAACAGTGACAAATTTTTTTGGTATAAATACATTTCTATTTTTTTCAAGTTTGTATGTCCAGTTCTTATTATCAAGTGTCAATGCAAATTTGGGGGCAATACTGAAAAGAGGGCTGGGTGGCAGTGGACCACATCATATAGATTCACAATAGAGTTTCATTTCTTTATTAGAAGATTAAAAATACTGATAATCTAATGCTTGAGGAAAATAACATACCTTGTATCAATCCTAAATTTCAAAAAATAGGATCAGTATTTTTATTGTTGTTGTTTGTTGTCATTTTTATTATTATTTAAATTTATAACCATTAGTTGTTGTTGTTGTTAGGTGCCACTGAGTTGGTGCCGACTCATAGTGACCTTATGCACTGCAGAACGAAACACTGCCCGATCCTGGGCCAACCTCACTACTTTTGCCACGCTTGAGTCCATCCATGCTGCCACTTGCCCAATCCATCTCGTTGGGGGTCTTCCTCTTTTTCTCTGACCCTTCATCTTGCCAAACATGATATCCTTCTCCAGCAACTGGTCCCTCCTGACAATATGTCCAAAGTATAAGAGACGAAGTTTGGCCATCTGAGCCTCTAAGGAGCACTCTGTCTGCACTTCTTCCAAAATGGATCTATTGGTTCTTTTGGCAGCTCATGGCACTTTCAATATTCTCCAAAACCATAATTCAAAGGCATCAATTCTTCTACAGTCTTCCTTATTCACTGTCTAGCTTTCATATGAATATGAGGTTATTGAAAATACTATGCATGTATATGAGGTTATTGAAAATATTTAACCTGTATGCTGAGCAAATAATCTGAGAAGCTGAGTTATATGAAGAAAAGCATGGCATCAGGATTGAAGGAAGACTCATTAACAACTTGTGATATGCAGATGATACAACCTTGCTTGTTGACAGTGAAGAGGACTTAAAACATTTACTGATGAAGATCCAAGAACACAGCCTTCAGTATGGATTACATTTCAATGTAAAGAAAACAAAAATTCACACCACTGGACCAATAAACAATATTCTTATCATGGAGAAAAGATTGAAGTTGTCAAGGACTTCATTCTTCTTGGATCAACTATCAACACTCACGGAAGCAGCAGTCAAGAAATCAAAGAACATATTGCATTAGGCAAATCTGCTGCACAAGACCTTTTTAAAATGTTGAAGAGCAAAGATGCCAGCTTGAGGACTAAGGTGCGCCTGACCCAAGCCATGGTATTTTCAATAACCATTAGTACAGTGGTTGTATTTCGTTTCACCTTTGTTGGAAGCCTAGAATTACTGTGGTGGTTTAGAATTCGATAGTTATCACTTCATTATCTTGAAAACTATGTAAAGTCACTCATAGAGTCACTAAAAATAACAGTTCAGTCTAAAAGAACATTCAATTTTTTATAAAATCTGATTTAATTGACTCTTAATATCTTAAAATCTGGCTTTTACAAGTTTGCTTTGAAGGAAAACCAATTAACTAAAAGTCAGATATCTCAAACAAGAAGTTAGGGAAAAACTATTTCTGTAGCAAAGAATTTGCTATGGAAAGGGAAAATGTATATTATATTTAAAATTTGAATACCTGCATATACAACTTTTCACTTAAAAACATTATTTATATGAAACCTTTAAGAAGTAAAATAGTACATCTGAGCAGAATTTCAGCCACTAGGCCTAAAAAGTACACATACGATGTTCACCCAGTCCATGAAGGTGGGACTCTTAAAAGATGTTGCTGAATGCCTTTGAATCAGTTCAGACTCATAACAACCCTGTATAGAGTTTCTGAGGAACAATCTTGTGGTTCAAACCAACTTTGTAGTCCTGCACTTATCCTGCAGTGCAACACCTTGAAGATGTTAGTTAGACATATTTTCCTAGAATTCAATTTATTAAGAAATATAAGCTTCTATTGCAAAATCACCATGGCATCTACCTACATCACATTATGGAAGCCTTGTTTTTCACTTTGTAGTTAATTTATGTTGTAAACATTTAATGGGAATATATTATGTGAGCTTCTGAAATATACTGTGCAGGGTAGAAAAATTGTTTGCAATGCTGGGTAGGAAAATGAACTGAAATACAACTACTGTGTGACATAATTCTTTATCTTGCCCAAACTTACATTAATAAATACTTAATTACTTCTCTGTATGGCAGGAAATAGTCTCTTTCAAAGCTAGTGAAAATGTAGCCAAGAAAGAGGAAAGCTATTCAAATATCAGATTTTATTGGCATAAAACTCATATTTTTTTCTTTAATTTTTTTGGTTCGTAGTGGATGGACAGAGTCCTGGTGTGGCGCTGTGGATTAATGCTCTGGACTGCAAGGTCATTTTGAACCACAGGTAAAGTTGGTGATTCAAGCTCACCAACTGCTCCGCAGAAATTCCATGCAGGGTCGCTATGAGTTGGAACCAACTTGATTGATGGCCCTTAACAACAACAACTACTACTGAGGGTAGATTGACTGAATTACTTTTGCATTGATAACTGAGTTGTTATTGCTCAACTTCTGCAAAATAAACTTCCTACTTCTGCCAGTGATTGTATATAGGTGTGGTACTGTTAAGATCAAAGAGAAAAAGATACAGAAAAGAAAGTATGAATGCAAATGATATTAAATGAATGAGCTTTTTAAATCTGCCCAAATTAAGTATGCTCTGTTTTTGGAAGGCAAGAATTATCATATTTAGTCATTAATATATACTAAAACTGAACATTATTAACAGTTCTTTTATTTCATTTCAATGCATGAAAATCATCTGACTTTTATAAAAAACACAAAATAAATACCTATATTGCTACACAAATTGTACATGGTGGTGGTGTGCCATGGAGTCGGTTCCGACAAATAGCAACCCTGTTTAGGATTTCCAAGGCAGTAAATATTTATAGGAGCAGAAATCTTCATCTTTTTCCCTCAGAGTGACTAGTAGATTTGAACTGTTGACTTTGTCGTTAACATAACTCACTACACAACCAGAGCTCTATAAGGTAATAATATGTATGTAAATGCACTGAACTGCAAAGTCAGTGATCAGTGGTTCCAGCTCACCAGATGCTCCTTGGAAACCCTATACAGGGTCCCTGTGGGTCAGAACCGTCTTTACGGCACTTAACAACAACAACAAACTTATTTTAAATGTTTCAATGTATTTTAAAGTATTAGTTATTACTATTACTTTAAGTCCTTGAGTGGTACAAATGGTTAATACACTTGACTACTGAGAGGCTTGTGGTTCAACTTCACCTTTCAAGAACATCTTGGTAATCTACTTTCCAAAAATCCACATTGAAAGCTCTATGGAGCAGAGTTCTATTCTGACATAAACGGAGTCACCATGAGTCACAAGTCACTTGATGGAAACTGGTTATTATTGTGTATATTTTCAAACCATGACTATAGTACATTCACCTAGGTAGGGTTTCAGCTTAACTTAGAAGTTCCAACGGAGTTATAAAGTTCAAAAGTGTAATGAATTGCCTTTTAATTTAATCAAATCCATTTGATGTCATGAAATCAAATTGTACTACCCACAATGATTAAAATAATACTTTGTACACATATAAGTATTTAGTTTAAAATCTTTCTCTGTGAAGAATTATTGAACTCATGTTTAAAATCATTACTACATAATAAATAATCATACTTACCTCTGCTTTTCTCTGAAGAATTATATTTAGTTTATTTACTGCATCTGTAATTTGTTTGGTTTCCACACACCCTAGAACACTGCATATATTTTTAACTTCTTCAAAAATATTATCCACATTTTGCTGTAGATGAAAAGATACACATCTTACTCTTTATTAGCATTGTGAGGACACTAATTTAACTTTAGCACTCTCTTTCCAAGAAAATGAAATGAAATGAAATGTGTTTACCTGCTTTCATTTAAGCTCTGGCCTACTAACCAAAAGGTTGGTGGTTGAAACCCACCAGCTGCTTCTTGGTAATGCTATGCAGTGTTGCTATGACTTAGAACTAAGTCGATGGCATATAACAACATTTAAAAAGAACTTTCTCAAGATTCTGGTTGTCATGTGGCACTAGTCACAATTTGCATTGACAGAATGGTCAAAACTAAGATTTATTAACATTATATATGTGTGTGTGTGTGTGTGTGTGTGTGTGTGTGTGTGTATGAACTCTGAAGTCCTGGTGTGGTGCTGTGAGTTAACGCGCCAGAGTGCAAAGTTGTTTGAACTGCAAGGTTGGTGGTTCAAGCTCACCTGCTGCTCCTTGGAAACCCTATACAGGGTCGCTATGGGTCAGAACTGACTCAACAGCACTTTACAACAACAAAAGTATGAACTCTGGAACCCCTGGGTGGCACAGTTAAATACTTGACTATTAACTGAAAGGCTGGTGGTTTGAACCTCAGAAGAAAGATTTGGTTATTTACTTCTAGTCACAGCCATGACAACTCTCTGAAATAGTTCTATCCTGCAATACATGGGGTTGCCATGAGTTGGCATCAGCTGGACAATAATTGGTTTTTTGGTTTGGTTTTGGTTTCATATGAGCTCTGATTTAACATTCCCTAAAATAAAACAAGTAATATTAAATCAGAGCTCATATGAACCCAAAACCAAACCAACAAACCTATTATTGTCAGATGATGCCAACTCAGGGCAACCCAGTTATTGCAGGATAGAACTATTTTAGAGATTTAACATTACCAAAAAGTGGGCTAATGCATCAGACAGCAAAGTCAATTGAACTGCAAAGTCGGTAGTTCAAGCTCACCAGCAGCTCCTTGGAAACCCTATACAGGGTCTCTGTGGGTCGGAAACGACTCGATGGCACTTAACAACAACAACAAAATAAAAACAGGAGTCTTAGTGTGGTGCTGTGGGTTAATGCACCAGACTGCAAAGTCATTTGAACTTCAAGGTTGGCTGTTACCAGCTGCTCATTGGAAACCCTATACAGAGTCGCTATGGGTTGAAACTGACTCGACAGCACTAAACAACAACAACAAAATAAAAGAGAAAGAAAGAGGGAAAATGTGCAAAAGTAGGAAACTCAAGCTTAAATAAAGTCTAGCTTCTATGAAGTGCTTCGAACAAAGGCAATTGACAGCAGACCCATGTAGAGTTTTCAAATGCATCTGTTTTGGGAATCAGTTTACAGGAAGGCAAACTTATTAAAAATCAGATTCAAACTAGGACTCAGAACTAACTTGGGAAGATCATGTAGCAGTATTTGTCAATCATCTAACTGTACTGTCTTTGAAGAATATACAAGAATATTTTACAGTAATGACAAACTTTTCTTAAAATCAAAATTGCCAGTTGCATTTCAGAGAGCCATATAAAGATTTTATGCTTCACAGTTCTAAGTAAGAGATTTTCATTAGGCTTCTGTAACTCAGCTTTGAACACATTCTTAAATAAGTTTTGAATGCTATTGTTAAATGCCATTGACTCATAACAACCCTGTTTATTATGGTCTCCAAGGAGTGGCTGGTGAGTTTGAACCGACGACCTTGTTCAAACCACCCTTGTGGTCCAGTGCTTTATCCCACAGTGCCACACCAAAAATATCTATCCTATTTGACCTATTTTTTTTGTGTATTGTCATTAATTACGGAGAAAAATCTCTTTCTTAGTTCCATGCTAAACACCTTTTGCTGCACATTTTTTTTACACACTTAGTAATTAATGGCTTTTCAGAACATGTTAACCTTGTGACTAGCACTACAGTCATTCTAATAGAGTACTAGAAGAATTTATTTCCAGAAGATATCGAGAAAAATATTTTGTTTTTCCACACACAGGTATAGATTCACAACACAAAAAGATTTAGATTCTTATTCTAGGTATTTTCTTAACAAAACATTAATAAAAAGACATGATAAAGTCATATATTAGTGAGATACCATTTACCACCTTCACAGGAAACCAAAACTTTTGTATACTCAAGAGGGCTTGAAAGAATTAATAAAAATTCCATTATCTTTCAATCTCATTTCCCATAAGCTTTTGAAAGCCTCCTTGTATTGTCAGTAAGTCTTCTATGTGATTTTACAAAACCCATCAAGTATAGCTAACTAATACTCTGAAAGACATAATCAGGATTTCAGAAATTTTAAGAGCCTTAATTAAAAATAACAAGTTACAATTTAATTGTAAGTCTATCACAGATTAAGAAAACACAATGACTTAATTATAACAATGGGGAAAAACATGAGTGATTCATATGAAGATGTCAGTTGTTTTATTTATGTGTGAACTCTGTGTGAGTAACCCTTGACATGCAGTTGTAGAAGTTCTATTTTATTATTAAATTGTATCAAAATATGTATTGTATACATAACAGGACAGTTAAGAGAACCACCACATTTTTCATATATATAACCTGAATTTAGTTTTGGGCACCAAATTTGAGTTTGTATTTGACAAATTTAACTTTTGCAAATGAGAACAGCTAGACTACATGTGCACATATTCTGTACAACAAAATAGATGATATTGTCAGGTCTGCAATCACATTCTCTGTTCATATGTTGGTTTTTTCCCTTTCTACCTGTGACCATAATCAAATTACCTAATGCCCATGTGAGAATGGTGGCTGTGTGCCATGGAGTCAGTTCTGACTCATAGCGACCCTATACAGGGTTTCTGAGGCTGTAAATCTTTACGGGAGCAGAACGCCTCATCTTTCTCCCATGGAACAGCTGGTAGTTTCAAACTGCTGAACTTGCAGTTCTCAGCCCAATTCATAACCACTATACTACCAGAGCTCCTGAATAATGAAATCATCCCTGGGTGGGCTTGAGCCACCAATCTTTTGGTTAACAGCCAAAGAATAGTAATAATTAATTATAGGACTGTTGCAAGGATTAAATAAGGAAAAAAATGTAAAGTACCTTACAGGGAATTAAGGTTAAGTTTTAATGTTTAATAATCAATTATCCAGTCACGCAGCTTTTTCCATAAGAGATACCAGACATCATCCATCCATTGTTAACTAATAAAATAAAAATTTTAAAAAACTTATAAACATCAATTCTGTTTATTTATGAGTAGATATGTGATGTATGTAAATTTGTAAAAATCCATGAGTATTAGTAATTAAAATGAAAAGACTGGATGATTGGTTTCAGGCTGTAGCTACATCTACTATGCCAATCTAGCAGAGCTTCTAATGTGATTCAATTATTTACACATATTTTCTCATTTAATTTTCACAATAATTTTGAAAGTATTATCATATTCTTCATATTCATGATTCACAATTTGTTAGAAAAGACAAAGTGAAATAATAAAAAATAAGTTGGTGATTAATAAGATATGGAGGACAGTAGAAACAATGAATTTAAGATGATTCCAAAATTTCACACCTAGAGGATAAACAAGACAGTGTCATGAATTACAATAAGAAGCACAGGGAAGATTTCTAAATGGATTGTCATAAGTTAACTTTTTTACTTTTTAAAACATTTTATTGTGATTAAGTGATGGTTAACAGCAAGATCATCAATTTTACAACCAACAAATCACAAACTTTGTTTTATCTCTTCATGTCACAACAATTATCCCACTTTTTCCCTATAGTTCCTATTTCCATTCCACCCTCATTTCTAATGCCTGTTAAACTTGTCCCCAGATAAATGTTGGCCTTATGATCTTGAGTGGTTAACAATTCAATGGTGAACATATCCCACTAGTGCTGTATCCTGATATACTTATTTATCACCATGGATGAAAATTGGGCCATGAAGATGAGCTCTTTCTAGACCTGAAGGATGGTAAAGAGACATAGTCTTTGGTTTCTCCAGTATTTTTCTGACCAATCTTTTTTTATATAATTTTGAGTTTTGTTCCACATGGCTTCCCACTCTATCTAGAACCTTTTAAGGTAATCCCTTTCAGAGCAATTGGTAGTGGTAGTGTGGCACCAGTTAGTTCTTCTGATCTCAGAGCCCAGGGGAAACATGTTCAGATGTTGCTTTAGTCCATCAGCCTAATTGATTACAAGCATCTTCAATTTTCATCACATTTCTTTCTTCTGCATATGGAATGACCAATGAGTTGCACCACAGGTGGTTACACATTTGAGTGTTGAAATTTCCAGTTGCTCCTTCTCAATACCCAGGGACTTTGTGTATGAAAACTGAATCTGAGAAATGGAACTCTAAAAGGCAATAAAATATTAATTTGTATTACCCACAGGAGCAACTTGTATTAAAAATGGAGCTAAGCTCAGTGATTACTTTAAACCTTGTTTATGTTGTTAGGTGCCTTGGAGTCAACTCAAACTCAGAGTAACCCTATGCACAATGGAATGAAATAGTGCCTGGTTCTGCGGCCTACTCACACCTGTTATGTTTGAGCCCATTGTTACCACTGTGTCAATCTATTCCATAGGGATCTTCCTCCCTTTCGATGAACTTCCACCTTTCCAAGCACAATGTCCTTTTCCAGGAACTGGTCCCTCCTGACAACATGCTCAAAGTACATGAGATGAAATCTCAATATTCTCACTTCAAAGGAGCATTCTGGCTGTACTTCTTCCAACACAGATTTGTTCTTCTGGCAGTCCACGGTACATTCAATATTCTTCTTTAACACTACAATTCAACAGTGTCATTTCTTGTAAGATTCGTATTTGTGCCCATTCCAAAGAGAAGTGACCCAAAGGAATGCAGAAATCATCAGACAATATAGTTAATATCACAAACAAGTAAATTTTTGCTAAGGATAATTCAATAATTGCTATAAAAGTACATTGACAGAAAACTGCCAGAGGTTCAAGTCAGATTCAGAGG